TGCCATTTTCTCACTTTCTCCTTCCATTTTCTGTGTGTTCCTAGATGTCCCTGCCACGCCCCTTGAGCCCGGGGGCCGCCCACTCATCATTACATTTCATTAAGCCTGGGCCAAAAAAAGGGGGCCACAGCCACAGTCAAGATTCGCTTTCGGGCCTAAGTTTCAGTTTCTGCTGCTGTTGCTTTTGTGTTTATTAAACGCTTTTCGGGGCGCGTGTTCATTCAATTTGTTTCTGCTTGAGTCAGAGTTCTGTGCTCCTTGTTCCTGTTCCTGGACTGAATGTTATGTCTACATGCCTGCGTCTAAATAAACAGCAGCAACAAAGCCCGAGCGTGTGTGTATGTGCGCTCGCAAAATCGTTTTAATTGTTGTGTTTAAATAACAGACGAGCCTGGAGCTCGAGAGAGAAATTGGGGCCAGGGCACGGATCTTGTGCCGCGTAGGCGTATGCTTAATATGACGCATACGCCGCCTGTTCGGTGTGTTTGATGTCGTTCGACCGCGTCACATGAAAGCGGGCGAATGAAATATAGTTACTTAGGGAAACTCTAAGTCCTCTTACCAAGAATCAAGAACGAATCCCTAGACAAAAATAAATCAATTGGAAATATTACTGGTTTTCAGGTCATAAATTAATATATTTTCCGAGAAGCGGTAATAATGTGGCTTCAAATAATTCATTACGAAGAATAATTTTGTCAATATATAAGAAAAACCTTTTAGTTTTATGTATGATGTCTCAATATATTTATTCACAAGTCGTTTTAAGAAATTTTAATTCCACAAAAACATTTTGGTTAAAAAAAATATGAAACATAAAACTACCTATTATTTTGTATATTCTTAAATGAATGTTTAAAATAAATGTTTTACCAAGTCCAAGGACTTTTTTTATTTTCGGTTATCCCAAGTAATTGTTACTTAAGTTTAAAACCTGCAAACTTGTTTTTATCGTTCAGTCTAAACTTTGACCTTCTGCAGCTAGGCCAAGTGCAAAAGTTGTCTGTGTTTTTATTAATTCCACGAGCATAGGAAAATTTATTGAAAATGCCTGTTGGCAGGACACGTAGCAAAGAAAACTTTTGCCAGCAAACGCATTTCTTTCTGTTTTTTTTTCTTTTTTATTTTATTTTGTACGTGATCTCAGTGGAAAAAACAGCGTAATTAAAAACGAGAAGTCGTTGGCGCTTGATATGTGTTTCTGAAAAGGTGGAGGCAGTTTGGCCGTGGATAAATTTAGACAACGTTTGCCATCTGATATGATAAATCTACTTAATCCAATAAACAAACAGCGGGGGAGCGGACCAAAATTGAAGCGTTGCGTTGCGATGTGAGAATGCGAATGCGAATCGTGCGTGCGCAGCAAGCGAGGGAAAGTGCCAAGTTTTAATTGTGAAAGTTTAGCTGGGGAAAACCTAGATTTGCGGGTGGAAAGCCTGGTGGGGGAGCTGCCGCATAGACACACACTCCCAGCAGGTGTGGCAAATTGCTGCCCGCACTGGGACATCGAAGCCCGCATGCGACAAGCCATGAATTCAAGTTGGTCTCTACCTAAACCCAAGGATCTACAGGGTGAAAAATCCTTGTGTAGAACTTTCTTACTAAAATCTTTAAGAAAACATAAATAAAAACCAGAAAATTCCAATCTTATTGTATAGATATTTTTTTAAGTGGCTTCCGTTTTAAATTCCAATATACATTATTTTATATAATAGAAATCCAAAATGGTCTGGAAAGCATTTGCGTTATTTCTCGCAGTGGAAGGATGTTAGTCCTGCCATTCTGCCAGCCGACTGTGCTGTCATTTTGCGTTACTTGTCATCAGCTTCATGCGTTTTGACATTTTTATTAGTTGAATACTCCTTAGCAGCACGCTCCATTGCCTGGGGTCCCTGTCCGGAACTCTGAGTTCCGAGTCCTGGGCCTCGTCCTCGTCCTGTAACGTCTAATAAGTGTTTACCACGTCATGAAGCGGTGGTAGTGCTTTAAAGGATCCAATTTTATTTGGAGGGAGAGATTTCAGTTCAAGTGAGCCACAGCGTGTCGATTTACAAAAAACGCACCGGGGGCCTTATCAATTCCCAGTCAATATATATCGAACTAAGTGGAAGCGATTTTATTTCATTGAGTTTGTTTACTCGTTTAGCAACTGTATTATTTCGTTGTCTATTTAACAAATATTTAAAGTTTAATAACCTTTCTGGTAGAAAGCAACCTCTTTAGGATTTTTTTATTATTTCTAAGCTGCGACTCTTATTGATTTAAAAAAAATGAAATTTACATATTTTTGTTATTATAACTACAAGAAACATTTATAAAATTATCATTTACTCTGAGTAAAACAGAAATTGACATTACAATTTCATGCATGACATTTTCCAATATCAAATTAACCTTATGGTAAATAAACAGTTTCCTTCCTTGCGATGACTTGCTCGCTTCGATGTCAGGAAATTTAAATTATAATAATTGAATTACTTAAATTCAATTGTTTTATTTAATCATGCACTTTCCCCACATTAAATGCTAAACAAATGCTTGATATATTTGGCTTTTCATGTCAAACAAACACCTAAAGTACAGCAATGCCAATCGTGGCTTTAATTTATGCCATTAAACAGTTTAATTAGTCACGCAACGGTAGAGGCAACAACAAATAGTGAAACAACAGATGTTAAATAAATATTTGGATCAAGTGCAGCTGAGATGCGAGTAAAAAACGCAGTTGTACAATTTATTGTGTGCTGTTTATTTCGCGCAAGCCGAAAAACCAATTTAACTAAAGCCAAATGGAAAAACAGCAAGAAATTCCTTGAATCGCAATTACAGAATTAAAATAACTTTAATTATTACAATGCAGAGAGTACGTACACAAAATAGTTCAGGTAAATCACAAACTTTGATCTCGAAAGCAAGTTCCGACATTTTCCTTTCAGCGCCAGGACGCACAACAATTTTCCCAACTTCAAAAGAAGGCACATTAAAATTGTCCTCAGCAGGAGGCGAGTTTGCCTCACCAATGCTAATAGAGTGTCAGAGGACTGGGGAGAAATTGCCAGCGATATTTATGATGGAGAAAATACCCAAAGTCATACAACGACCTCAATGTCCATTTGCTAAAGTTGCCATAAAAGAAAGGCCCCATGCCATTCCCCGGTACAGAAAGTTTTAAGCATCTGGCGTAGGTCCAAATGAAGGCAAAAGGCAGCGAGAGCGAAACTTTGAAATGAAATTTTTGTGTTAAAGTTTTGTCAGGTGAGGCCACAGGTAAGCAGCCACGCAATGCGACAACAGCAAGCTGGCTTAGGGTCAGCGGAGCGACCAAGGAGCCACCGTAAGCACCTGGAAACCACCCACTTCATGAGCCACCGCACCACCGCAGCGGTCCACCGCAGTCGCACACCATCGCACACCATCGCCCAGCGAACGGAGGACACAAAGTTGCAGCTGTATTGTCACGTAAAACGGTGACAGATTCCAAAGACGGCGATGGCAGCCAGGCAAATAACATTAAAGCAACCAACAACAATGGGCCATTCCGGTAGCAGGGGGCGGTATTCGGTCTCATCATCATTACACCTGGGAAAAATCTGCCATCCAATCCTTGGCATAATGGTCTTTTCCCAAGTGTAAGTACGTAAATGGGTTAAAAGTTCAAAAGAAGTTATTCTTTCAATGTGACCAAGTCCCTGTATTTATTTTTTAGAGTCACCATTCCCATATAATAATTCTCTCTTGGACTCTAAACCAGACAATAATCGGAGAAGTTTCTGGGACACTGAATAATTATCAGTTTTTGAAAGAAAATATGTTACATTTTATAAAAAGAACATACTAAATTATTATAACATACAAAACATAACTTTTGCTATTAGGCAAACTAAACATGTTTAACAGTTGTTTTCCTATTTACAGAAACAATTTGCATACACAAATAAAATGGGGCTTACATCAATTACGAAAATATTGTTAAATACTTAAAAAATCTGTTAGTCAAGCTCCGAAAAAAAATGTTCACAATGCAGATGGTTTTTATGGAACCGAACGCACTTTTTGCAAGTGTCCTTTATGTCAGGTGGATGTGGAAATATCAGGATCTCCCTGAGCCCTGGACGTGAATGAAAGTTTCGTTCTGTGACTCCTGCGACTTAATGGCAGTGGTCGTGCGCCCACCAGCAAAGTCCACCCACTGTGACTTTGTTCCTCTGTCCGCAAAATGAAATTAGCAACACATGCCGGCCCGGGACACCGACCGAAAAAAGAAAAGGCTCCATTCAGCAACAGACGAGAACAGCGAAGCGCGTTCGTTTGCATTTAAAGTAATTACAAGAATATTCCCTTCATATGTGGCTGTGTGTGTGTGTGTGTGTGTGAAGGATATTTGCGCTCTTTATGGTGCCTAATGCTCGGTTGGAATTATGACAGCCCCGGCTGCCTAAGCGGCCCAAAGAGCTAATGCGTTTTTAAATATGCTGCAGCGGAAACTCGGTTGGCATTAATTAACAGTCGAGTGCAGGCCACGGAGTTGCTGTGGCTTAGGATTTGGTGGATACCGAAAAAAGTTTCTTAAATGACTTTCAGACATTGCGGCGGATTGTGCGAAAGCCTTTGAAAAATACGAGACCGGAAAATTGCTGCATATTTTATGAGGCATTACAAAAATGCGAATGTATCAAGCAGATGCGAAGGAGAACTTTAATTCGGTATGAAAAGAAAGTATATACAATGTGCACAAGTTAATGTGCTTGCTTTTTATTCTAAGAAGGAGAAATCAAATATGTGTGGTTTCGTAAATAAAATATTTTTGTGTTAAGGAAGTATTAACAACTGTCAAATTGAAATTGAACTTCGTTTTTACATCCCCTGTGAGTTTCATTTTAGCATCTAATACAGGTGGCAAATGTGTCTAAGCAAATAAATACGGGACATAATCCAAAAACCATTAACCACTAAGAAAAATAACCTGTGAGTGAAAAGATAAGATGAAATCTTGTACATACCTGTTGCTTTCGTCCGTAGTTTTCCCAAGGCTGGGCGTATACTTGATATTTGGCTTTCAGTGTACAAACACTCACAGGCACTAGCACCGGATATTTATTAAGTCGACACACACACACTCGCGACACTTAATTCCTTCTTTAATTTCAATTTCTGGCACGCTTATATGTTTGCTTAGCTATTCCCGGGCACAGGATCCAGAAACGGAGGCCCGAAAAATATCCTTGGTGGTAATCATGCAATAAGCCGCACTTGTAGCACATACACACACACTCCGGGGTCAGCCTTCTTCGGGAGTCTTGGCGGTCCTGGAGGTCCTGTCTCGCCTTTGTTGGCCAAGGGAAACAGCTTGAAATGCTATTAAAATATAATCTTCTGATAATCTGCACTTAATTTCGTGCTCTAGCCCAAGGGAGAAGAAAGACGTTTATATGTCCTGGCCGTCAGCTGGTTCGTCCTTGTTGTTCGCTCTCCTTTTTTCTGGCTTACTCTTTTTTTTTGTGCCCCAGTGAAATCTTTTAATTTTTTCCACTAAAAATTGTTCTTTCACTTCGTTACTCTGTTGTATTTGTATTTTTATTTGTAGTGTAGCTTTGTATTTTTTCGTCCTCTTTGTTCACGTGGGATTCTGAATTTTTTTTTCAAGCTTTGTGTAAGTTTTACGCTCCGCTGATTTTTAATGTTTTGCTGTACCCGTGCAACAGAACTCGTTCATGTGCGTGCGTGTTGATTTCCTTTTCTGCTACCTTTTTGATAGACCCGCACTCTATTTTCCTTTCGCACTCGTCTATTGCCTTTTCTCGAATTTATCAAATTTTCCTCTGTTCTCCCTTCAATTCTTTTACTTTAGCCTCCCTTCTCTCCTTTTTTTTAATCAAATTTCCACTTGATTGGAGTGACGACAATTTAGTTGATTTCCGGTTGATGTTGATGCTTCTGTTGTGGTGTGGCAAAATGGAACGTGAAAATGGGTGGAGAGAAGAGAAAGAAAAATTGAATTAGTAAAATACATTTGGCATGTGGGTTTTTATAAAATGGGAAAAGTTTTTTTAAAGTTTGTATAGTATCGTTATTGACAGGAAGAGTCCGTCAAAAATGTATATATTTTTTAGGATTTTTTTTAAATGTCCAAGAAAAGAAAAAAAATAATTTTAGTATTTTTTAATTTGTGAAGATTTTAAAACGGGCATTTATCTTCAAAACTTAAACTGACTGAGAAATTAGACACTTAATGCGCTTTGTGGATAATAACTAATATCATCTTTTGCCTTTTAGTCCTGATCCCTTTCCATTTGATAACGCTTTAATTTCCTTTTTAATTTAATTCCAAGCTCTTTGCGCCTCGCATATTACTTAATTTCCACGCTTCCGCCTTTCAGTTTCTCACTCTCTGCCCGCCATTTCCTCATGCTCTTCCGCCTTTTAAACTGATCCTCTTAACAGGACATTACCTGGTGTATATGGAAACATTTTCACAAACCCAAAATGCAACATTCTCACGCCTGCAAAAAATGTGAAAATGTTTTCCATTTTCCCTGATTTTATTCCAAGTATTTTCTTCCTGCTGTCGCCTGCATGAAATTATAATTGTGTTCTCATCTCTCGCCGCAGACAGTAAAACATTTAATTTCCTCTTCGCAAATGCCCGCGTTAGAAAGAGACGGGGTGCAGGCGGAGTGAGAGAGACGGCAGGCGAGGCCTGCTATAATTCCTTCCGGTTATTTTTGCCGCCAAATGGCGTTTCGTGTTTCTAATTCCTCGCAAAACCTATTTACTCTCCCCCCAAAGATTCCGCCATACTTCCCCGGTGTTTGTCGCTGGGAGATTTACAAAATAAAAAAAGGAACCATAAAGAAAATTACAGAAAAATTAAATCACTTCGCCCCTTCACATTCCTCAGTCTCAACGAATTTTCTTCATTTTTTTTGTGTGTGCTCTTGGCATTTATGCTTCATTTATTTTTGATGGTTTTTTGCCAACGCAAAACGTAAATGGTTTATTTCGAAATTACGCGACGCAAAAATATTACATGCACTTGTGTTCCTTTATGGCCTGGAATAACGTAAAATGTAATGGGGATTAAACAGAAAACGTTGTGCTTAAATTCAATATTTGCTTGGAAATTTTCGAGACCAACAAATAAATACTGTGCACAAATAAATCAATTTGTGGTCTTTATTTCAATGAATTTATTGACGAATAATATTTCAGAATCAAAGTCAACCTGCTGGCAATTAGTTGCAGTTAAGTCTCAATCAAATAATAATTTCCCAGTCGAACAGTCTGCGCAAAATCATTATTTATGAGAATTGGTCACTTTAAGAGCTGTATTTTAACTATAAGTATAATATCGCACACACAAGCAGCTTAAAATTAATCAGGCAATACTTGAATCGGCTATTGAGCTTCTGCACTGGCGGCTCAGCTAATGAGGCTCTACATTTTATTGCCCTTTCAGAACCGGTGACATATTTTTGAGCGCGCTAATTAATCAAATTGTATTAAATACCTGTGGACCGAGTGGGTGCCCATAAAAAATAATGATAATAAAAATTCATCAACTGTCGTTTTATGATTTCGCGCTTTAAAAATGCGGCTGCGGCCCAAGAGCTGCACAAACACAAAATGTTCACAGTCTGTGGTCTCATTTTCGAACGCATTTTAATGAGGTTTCAACTGGAGAGGGGCTTCTGCTGCACAGACTGTATTAATTAAAAAGGGTTTCCATGAACTCTGCGCCGGGCTAAAATGTCAACCAGGCGTTGACCCAGAAAGGCGAAAATCTGAATCTCTGCCTGGCGTTTAAGGCTCGCTTTAAGGTCCTTTTTTTTCTTTGCAGAAAGTGTTACACGTGTCCTTTCGCTGTATGTGTGTGTGCGTTTGTATATGGCTGATGGCTCGAGGCTTTGAGGAACACAATTTCAATTTGTGCAGTGTGGGGAAAATCGCCCAACGGCCTTTTGCTTTTACTGCCTTGTAGAGCACACTTAAAAAATCATATATCAATTTCAAGAGAAAACAATTTCAGAGCTTACTCTTTTCTTCACTAGATAACCAAATTTGATTTTTGTTCAAGTGGGCACAATATTTTTCATTTCAAGCCAAACTAAATAAAACACGGAATATTTTTTCTGAGACTTGATTTGATAAAACATATAATTGAAAACCTTATATGGACTCCTTTTTAGTTTCAGTTTAATAATGTAATATTTTATATAATACATTTAATTAAAATTCTTGTTTTATGTCGTTTACGTCCTTTTGTTAGAAGCTTTTGCATTTATTAATGCAATATTTATTATTTTTAAAATTCAAAGTCCTCGATATATTTTAAATTATATATTTTTATTTTAAGAAATCCCTTAGCCACAAAAATAAGATACTTTGTCTTTAAAAATGTACCACGAGCGAGTGGCAATTTTGCAGACTTTCTTTCTGTGCAGTTGCTTTAATTTCCGCTTGAATGCAAAGCAAAGGTTTTTTGGCAGCAACAAAAAAGGTTCGCCCTTCGCATGTTGACTTGTCTTGTGAGTCAGAGCCAGACTTTGGAGGCCATAACAATAACAGAAAACAAAGGGCAACCGAACCGAACCGCCCCGTAACTCGAGGCGCAATCTTTTGTGGCGACTTCGCAGGCCGAACAGAAGAAACCTTTTCAACTTGATTAATTTCCCACAATTTAAGTTGATGAGAGACGATGCCCGAGAATTTTCAGAGTCCAGTTCAAATATCCTGCAGGGCGTCTGCTGTCTGCTGGCCACTTTGTGATTCTGGGGCCAGATGGCTTTGCGAATGTGTTGCGATTAGGTAAACGAACCTGCAACTTGATTTATCCCTGGAGATTGGCCAGAGAAAAAAAGTTTTCTTCTCCCAAAAACTAAGCAATCTTGGTACACATCACTTACAGCACACAGAAATTAATGCAAATTTTACAGAAAGTAGTTTCTTTCAAACACAAATATATTTCGGATCTAAACCAACATTGCGTAAACGTTATGCTGTCCGGCCATATTCCAAAACTAATTCCTATGACTTCCTCAACTTTTGCTGCTCACATTCCCGTTTACAAAAATATATAAAACAAAAAGTTTCGTCTTCTTCACAAGTTTCCCTACTGGTTTTTCTCAATGATTTATTGGGCGAAATGGTTTTTGTTTGCCAGTTTGTTTGTTTGTTTGCCTGTTTGTGTGCTGTTGTTTTGGGTCTTGCACTGGGCCAAAGGTAAAAGAACTTTGGAGAGTTTGAAATGTTGCCAATATGTTTTTATGGCCTTCGCTCGGCATTTAGAGCAAAAACTATGCCAACTATTCGGTTACTTGAAAATCGAACACAAGTCAGTACTGGAGAGAGATTCCTCCCAATTTATCAATAAAATCCTGCACCGAAGACCGGAAAGTTTATTGGCGAAAATTCGAACTTTGTATTTTGTCTTGCCATTTTTGGTTGTTGTGAACATTACTTTTCCATGCTTTATTTGAATTTTGTTTACTGATTTACATTTGTGGTCGTATTTTGTTGTTCAAAAAATAATGGTTTATTCAATGTTTTCAAATCTTTCCGGTATTTCTGTGCAATTTGTAGGGTTCATATTTTCGGAGTTCAAAACTTAAAAGGTCTATATTCTTTGGCAGGCTTTGTTTTTTTTTCGTTTTTAAAGCGTTTTGTTATAACATTTTTTGGATTCCAAATAGAATAAAAATATATTTTGGTTTTTTATTTTAAAACGGGCTTTTTTAAATTATGATAAACTGTTTCTTTCAGATTTTCTGTGGTACAAGAATTTTTTGGATTTTCTAGGTGCTTTGATTGCGTTGGGAATCACATTATACCTGAGCTTACATTTTTGGCTTTGGTTTTTGCTTATAACTTTGGATAACTTTGGAAGTTTTTAGGATTCTTCTCCAGTTTGTGCACTTTTACTTTGGTCTTGGCCTTGTTTATTTAATCCGCAACCCGTTTTTCGCCACGCGTAACCGACTTTTCGTTGTTTACCCAACAACTTTAAGGTCCACCGGTTCGTTTTCGGCCTCCTTTAGTGCCACCAAAAATCGCTCATACGCACTGTTCACCCACTGACACACACAGACAACCGACCGAACGCGTTGCTCGTCTCTGGGATTTTTCGAAGAGCGTAGCAGCATCGGGCCGCCTCAGTGAACGGATGCTGGAGCTTGACTGAAACGCCGTGGTTAACTAGCCAGGCTTTCGACGGTGGCCGGACCTACTACAACATCAGGCCAAGAACGACGAGGCCAGGACGAAAAAATCGAGGAGCGAACGAAGCAGCCCGGAATGGCAGCAGAGATCCGAGGATGTTGGCAGCGAACTTCTGCCTATTACAGCATCCCTGCGAGAGCTTTCTGGTGAAAGCTTTTGTTTTAAGAGAAAGCCGTAAGGGAAGAGAAAGTCCTAGAGCTTTGGATCCACATTCAGCAAGCTGAACAGGACACTTTTCGGGAGCGAGCTTTTCCAAGCTTTCGACTATATTTTGTTTACCATTTCTAATGTTTTGGTTTAAATACTAAGACCAACGGTTACACATTGTCCAATGTTACTTATTTATTGCATTTTAGATTGCCGCTCCAAAACGTGAATGAAACACAATGATTTAGTGGTAGCATAGATTTTTTAAATGTATTCGAATATCGATTTAAAATAGCTTTAACCAGTTTTTAAATTTATTACCAAAAATATTTTGAATAAATAAAAAAATAAAATTTGATTAAATTTGTTATTAATTCTCATTGGTTTTAATGATATTTTATAGAAAAGAGGTAAGTTATTGGAGTATCTACTTTTTGTATAAGGCAAATATAAAAAACCAAATTGAATTTTTTGTTTTTAAACTATTTTTTTTTTTGTTTGATTTTTTTTAAAATTTTCTTCTTTTAATTATATATGAATTAAACATTTTTAAATTTTCACCATACATACGAAAACCAAAAATAGTACGGATAAACCAAGATAAAGTTAGTTCGTCAATTTGGAAGAGCACCAAATGCCTAATCACAGTTGCCTTGAAAGCCAATCAATGAAGTCGAAGCCTGAACCTGGTACGCCGGTGTGCAGGGCAAATGAAAAGCTGGCCTAAACGATCAATGGTGGCCAATGTACAAATTTGTCCACATGGTTGACTGGCAGACAGCGCTAATTAAACCACACGGATGGCAACCATGGCAGCGAGCAGTGGCCAAAAAGCAGGACATTAAAACTGATATAGGGCCCTGGAAAATCAGTGGAGCGGGCCCGAAACACCACACACACAAGCGTTGTTTCAACTTGCAAGCCATTAACTGCTTTGTTTGCCCGAGGAAATCGGGGGAGGAAAATGGCAGGAAAAATTGGGAGGTGGCACCTTGATTGTATAATGGAAGGACGCTGCCTAAATGCAGCCCCCGTGTCCTGTAAGTGACACGTAGAGACAATCGGATTGTGATTTGTCAGCGGGCCGGGGAAGGAGAGAAACTGGGCCGCTCCGTGTCCATGGAGCACTCTGTCAAAGTGGCAGGACCATCCAGAAGTCGAGCCGTCGGCTGCTCCACTTCCTTCGTCTGCTTTTGGCCATTAAGTGGCGCACATGTTTGGCTCACACCACTCCACTGCCCTCAGTTCACTCCGCTCCACTCGATTCGGAGATGGCCAAAAAGGTGTCAGTCAACGCACAGGTGTCTTTAGTCTACACGGCGCGAAATCAAGCGTATGGATTTCTGGAATTTTTAATACCCCTTACAGTCACAAATAACGGGCATGTACTTTTGATGGGATAATTTACAAGCAAGAACATGAAAACTGAATTAAAAATATAGGCAACGTTTTTTATAAACCATTTGGTTCCATTATTTACAAAATTGAATATCTCTACTTATTATCTAATTCTTGTATATTCTAGATAAAATGTAAAGCTCCACTTTATGAACATAACATTAGTTTAGTACATATACAAAATGCTTTAAGTTCCAGCCATAAATATAGTTCAAAATACATACAACAAATATGTACGACTTACATTTATATTGGTTGTAAGCCAACATTGATCAAATATCATAAAAAGGGGGTATTTTAATGTACATTACACTGAATAGCCATCGACTGAACTCATTTATTTAATCTCTTTATCATTTTATAAAGCAAATCTAGTGAAAGTTATGATGAATTAAACGCGTTGGGCAATAAAATAAGACTGAAGGCGACAAGCTTGTCAAAATAATTATCCAGGCAGTCATATGGAAACCTTGTTCGTCCTCGAGGCAAAGATACACTCTTACTTTTGGGTGCACTTTTGTGAGTCACTAAAAGAAACTTTACTCGATTTCCCACTTTTTGTTTGCGTGGGCCAACTACCAAAGGAAGTTGGCCTGTTAATTTTGTATGGTGCCGTCATAAAAGAAAATCGTGGAGATTTGTAAAAAAAGATACCACAAAATAAGAGCGAGCAACAACTGTGACAATCTACATAAAAGGGCGACTCGGAGACTTCCTCAACATTTTTCCGCCCCGATATCATCGTCATTTTTCGCCATCTCTACTCTTGGGTGGCAGAAACTTTTTGTGTGTGCGCCAAATGAAATAAAAGCTGAAAGTAAGGACGAACAAATCCTCACGGCTGTCTTGGCAACTGACGCACATTTCTCTCTGTCATATATCATAGATTTGTGCGGGGGTTTTCCCAGTCAGTATCCCAGTGGTCAGTGTTGTGTCTCCTTTTTACCAGGTTTTTCTTCATGGGGGAGTTTTTCTTACTGTTGTCTTTTATCCGAGTAATAAACTTAAATTGTTATTTTACCTTGAAAGCGCCACAAAAAGATTTACGGTCGTCTTGGCACCTACTCACAACCCCCTCACCTTTTCTTCTCTGTGGTTCTGTTAGCATTTTTATGCTCATTACTTCGCATTTGAGCTCCCTATTTTACCGCCCTCTCCTCGCCACAATTTACAACAACCCCGGCTTTAAGCTGGTCCTCATCCTCTTTCTAGCCAAAAGGTTTTTTTTATTTCCATTTGTTTGTTTGTTGTTGTCGCATATTTATTAGGCTTTATATTGTGATGTCTAGAAAATGTCCAGACAATTTATGCCTTCCTATGGGCGAGGAAAGGCGAGATAAAAGCCGAATTGGGAGCCGTAGAGAGGCAATAGAAATTCGGTATTTAGGCCTTAAGCAATTGAGTTCTTATTGAGGTAGTCTGGTTCTGAGAATCTTTAAAAGCAATAACTGACTGTTTGTGTAGGAGTATTACTGATGGTCAGGACCTTAAAATTACAAATTATTTGGTAGTTTTATTTACTTTAAGAGATATTGAGGTACTTTTTATGTTTGATAAGGACAATTAATGATTAGATATTTACTTAGCCTCAGAATGATTATTTAATTGGATATAGTTAATGATTAGCAAATAAAGTGTTTGACTTTGGGTCTTAATTTATTTTGTATAATAAGCTTATAGCTGGTTTACCAGTAGTACATTTTCAAAAAGATTTAAGTGACAACTTCCACAATCTTCGCCTATTTATATTCACATTTAATCTGATAATCGGTTTAATACAATTGTGAAATTTATTGTATTTATCTCTTGACCTTTTACAATTAGCCTGCAGTCCAATAAATTAATTTAAATCTACTTCGCAACCCCACTTCGGTCGATGCCTCATTATTATCGCATTACTCGCAACAAAGTTGGACCAACTTCGTTGCATACTTTTGTGGCCACGGCTGTCAACGCGGCTTCGTTGCTCGCATTATTAATTAAATGCAAAATGTTTACACTAATAATTTCAGCATAAATTTCCCACCCTCGAGAAGCGGGGAAATCGCAAACGGAAGGAGCCATAAATTTCGCCTTTGGTTGCCGCGTTGTCGCGTTGCAAGATGTGCGTTGCAAGTCGCGAGTTGCAGTGGCCACAAATTGTGAGTTATCTTGGGGCCCCAGAACGGCATCCTTCTCGGTGGTTAAGGTTGTTCTTGTTGTCGCTGCATGCAAACACATTAAATTAAATTATTGTCACTGGGCGGCTGCATCCTTGCATCCTTGCTGCTCCGATGTCCTTGTCGCTGTCGTTATTGTCCTCGCCTTAGTTCAGCTTGTCGTCTGGCTTGTGGGGCTTCTCCTTGCAACATCGGCGGGAAATGTGGGAGGTCCTATGCTAAACGGCACAACTTCTCGCTTTTCGGCTGGGACGCGTTTCATTAGGCATTTACGCATTAGGAAGGACACGAACAAGGACAAGACGAATTGTTCCGCAGGGAGGTATTACAAACTATCTTATTGCAATTCTTTTCCTAGATAAAAGCTCCAGGCTGGTCAAGTGCAAAGGAATTGTAATTTTGTAATAAAAACCCGTGGGAGAATTTCCAAAGTAATAAAATTAAACTTAGTTTCAGTTCTCAGTTTCACCGTTTACTATAAGTAAAACAGTTTTAATATATTATAATTTTAATCTTTTTTATGATGATTTTTTTAAACTAAATAATGAGTCATCTGAAGTTATGATTAAATAAATCAATGTCAATGAAAATAGCTTTATAAATTTAATACATTTTTTGAAATAATTTGTTTATTTATTTATTTTTATTTGTTTTGTAACCGCAAATTCACTTAACGCTGTCAGGTTTTTTGTGTGTGCTAATTATCTGTGGCTGGCAACATTCAACATTTTTAATAGCCGCTAAATGCAGGAGCTAACAAAGACACACACTAAATTTTTCGTTGTACTTTTTATGGCCAATGTAATTTGGTTGGCGTTCAGTCGTGCGATTCGCTGACTTTGTTCACTCCTTTACTTGGACTTGCAAAGAGAAAATTTGTGGCAAGCTTTTGACGGGGCAACGCATTACCAACTTTTACCAGCTTTTCATGCGTTTAAGGGCGCACCATTAGCAACTTGACTTTGGCGACTCAAAAGCATTTTAATGAGCCACCAGTTGAGGCAAGAGTTTTTCTTGTTTTTTTTTTACCGTTCATGTTCATGCCAAACAGCAATTTCGGTAGGAAAAATGTAAATTTTTCTTGAGTGACCGGCTAAAAGTTGCATATTCATGGTGCAGAAATATAAAGCCCTAATGCATTTGCGTGCAGGAATTCCTTTGCATATTGCAAGATGACCGAACCAGCTGTAAAGCAGAAATTTGTGAAACATAAATTCACTTAACATAGAAATGCACT